TTTATGCAGCTGCTTGTTCCTTGAGTAGGGTCGAGCATCTGGTGCAGAAACCTCCTCCCGAGAAGCTGGGCCGGCGGCTCGTAACCAGCTTGCCGGCACGCTGGCCCACATAACGGCAGAAAGAAAGCGTCCCCAGTGTTCCAGTTAAGACATTTCATGGAAGTTGGCTCAGATTCTCTGAAATGATAAGTTTCTTGACGTCGTCGTGCACGTCGTGCACGTCGTGCACGTCGTCGTCGTCGTCGTCGTCGTCGCTCCGCCCTCCCCCCACCGCTCGGCCCCTGAAGGCCGCGCCGCCGAGCGCGCTGCAGCTGGCGGTGGACCGCCTCGCGTTCCTGGGGCTCGAGCTCCACCTGTGGGGCAGCGTGCGGATGAAGTCCTTGCCGAAGGCGGGGTGATGCTACTGCCGAAGAAAGACGCATAGCAGGAGGAGAAGGAGGAGGAAGGAGAAAGGTTCGAAGAAGAGAAGCAGGATGAAGATGAGGATGGGGAGGAGGACGGTGATGATGATGGTGGTGGTGATGATAATGGGTGGTCGCCTCTGAGATGACAAAGATGATGAGGGTGATGGTACTACTGGAAAAGGAGGACGACGACGACGACGACGACGACGACGACGACGACGAGGCATAAAGGTTAGAGGAGGCCTTTCACAGCCTTCGGCCTCGGGGGCCCTCAAACATGTGTCCGGCACGGAGACATAGCGGGGATGCGTTCCGTGCGGGGTCCCGGGACAGATTTTGAGTGGAGCTCGCCCCCGCTGTGCCGCCGACGGCGGGTCGAGCGCTGCAGGCGCCAGGGATCAAAGTCCGGCCTGTCGCCCGAGGAGGAGGAGGAGGAGGAGGAGGAGGAGGAGGGGGAGCGAGGAGGAGGAGGAGGAGGAGGAGGAGGAGGGGGTAGGAGGAGGAGGAGGAGGTGAAGGAGGATGAGGAGGAGCAGGAGGAGCAGGAGGAGCAGGAGGAGGATCAAGGTCTGACTCGGCGCCCGAGGAGGAGCGAGGAGGACCGAGGAGGAGCGAGGAGGAGCAGGGATGGCTGGAGGATGGACGGATTCGCCGCTACGGAGAGGGACGCGGCTGGAGGTGCAGAGTCTCAGGTTTGGCGCGAGCGCGCCTCGCTTGCCCCATCGCCCCTCTCCCGCCCTCTGCCGTCGCTTGATTCTGCTTCCCTACCCTCGTCTTCCCCTCCCTATTGAGCAGCACCTCATTCATCCCTCTCCGTCTCTCCGTCCCTCTCTCTCTCTCTCTCTTTCTCCAGCCCCATCCCCTATCTGCGTTCTCTCTCCCTCTCTCTCTCGCTCCCTCTCTCTCTCTCTCTCTTTCACTCGCCTCCTCCACTCCCCCATCCCTCCCTCGTGCCTCTCATCCAGTCCCGCCTCCTCTCCCGCCCTCTCTTGCTGAGAGCAGGTGCTGCGGCCGCTGTTGGTGATGACGGCCGGCTCCATGGAGGAGCTGTCGGTCAACGGCGCGGTCCTCAAATTGGATGCAGAGGAGTTCGAGGATGGAGGGTGCCCTCCTTCCCCGCCTCGTCGCCCTCATCTTGCAGGATGCACACGCTCTGCAGCTTTGCTTAGCTGTGCCCCAGCCGCGTCTCAGCCGCGGCGCACCGCCAGGGGGCCGAGCCTCGCCACCCCCCTCCTCCTCCTCCTCCTCCCCCTCTTCCTCCTCCTCCTCCTCCTCCTCCTCCTCTCTCCTCCTCCTCCTCCTCCTCCTCCCCCTCCTCCTCCTCCTCCTCCCTCCTCCTCCTCCTCCTCCTCCTCCTCCCTCCTCCCTCCGCCTCTTCCTCCTCCTCCTCCCCCCCCCCCCCCAGTGGGGGTACCACATGCGTCTGCCACACCCAGTACAGCGCTTCGTGGCCCCATAGGGAGCCCCACGTAAGGCCCCAAGAGGGGGGTACCACGTGCGTTTGCCACATCCAGTACAGCGTTGCGTGGCCCCATAGGGAGCTCCACCACAAGCCCCAGGGGGGGGGGGGTACCGCATGCGTCTGCCACACCCAGTACAACGCTTCGTGGCCAGAGCCCCACCGAAGGTTCCAGTGGGGGTGGCCACATGCGTCCGCCACACCCAGTACAGCGCTTCGTGGCCCCATAGGGAGCTCCACAAAAGGCCCCAGTGGGGGGTACCACGTGCGTCTGCCACACTCAGTGCAGCGCTTCGTGGCCCCATAGGGAACTCCACGTAAGGCCCCACTGGGGGTTCCACACGCGTCTGCCACACCCAGTACATCGTTTCGTGGCCCCATAGGGAGCTCCACCAAAGGCCCCAGTGGCCTCCTCCTCCTCCTCCTCCTCCTTTTCCTCCTCCTCCTCCTCCTCCTCCTCCTCCAACCTCCTCCTCCTCCTCCTCCTCCCCCTCCTCCTCCTCCTCCTCCTCCTCCTCCTCCCTCCTCCTCTTCCTCCTTCTCCTCCTCCTTCTCCTTCTCCTCCTCCTCCTCCTCCTCCTCCCTCCTCCTCCTCCTCCTCCGCCTCCGCCTCCTCCTCCTCCGCCTCCTCCTCCTCCTCCCTCCTCCTCTCCTCCTCCTCCCTCCTCCCTCCCTCCTCCCTCCCTCCCTCCCTCCCTCCTCCTCCCTCCTCCCTCCTCCCTCCTCCTCCTCCTCCTCCCCCCCCCCCCTCCCCCCTCCTCCTTCTCCTCCCCCCCTCCTCCTCCTCCTCCTCCTCCTCCTCCTCCTCTCCCTCCTCCTCCTCCTCCTCCTCCTCCTCCTCCTCCTCCTCCTCCTCCTCCCCTTTCCTCCTCCTCCTCCTCCTCCTCCTCCTCCTCCTCCTCCTCCTCCTCCTCCTCCTCCTCCGACCTCGCTCGCCGAAAAGATCTGGACGATGCCCAAGGCTGGTCAGGTCTTCCCGCGCGCGCCCCCTTGTCGGCGAGGCGCAGCTGCAGGATGTCGAGGCCTAGAGGGGCTCCGTCGGCCCTCGGCGCCTCTCTCGTGGAGGCCGCCGTTCGGGCCACGGTGCTGGCTGGGGCGCCGCGCCGCACGGTTGCGGCCGTCGCGAGGTCCGCCATCTCCTCTACGCTTTTCGCGGGCGGGGAACGGCCGCCGAGGACGGCCGCGGCCGAGCCTGCTGGTGCGGCTGCCCCCGACGACGACGCGCCGCTTGCTGCGCGGCCTGCCGCTGCGGCTGCGCGGACGGCGCGGCGGCGGCGTCGACGCCAATCCCTCGCTGTTCGGCGAGCGGCGGAGGCGTTCCCCGCTGCGGCGGATGGCTGAGGAGGCGCTGATGCTGGCGGCGCGGGCAGGGGCCTTGAGCTCGTGCATGTGCCGCTGGAGGAGGGGTCCGCTGCCATGGAGGAGGAGTCGGACGTGCTGGACGACGATTGGGCCGACCCGGCCCCCGTGCAGCGCGCGCGGCCCCCTCCCAGGGCGTGCCACGCTGCGGGGCCGGCTCAGGGTGGCGGCTGCTCGGCGGTAGCGGCTGGCGGCGCGGGCGCGGTGGCGCTGGAGCCGTCGGCCCCCGCGGAGTCGGCGGCAGACCCCTCCCTCGGTTTCTCCGCGGAGGAGTTCGAGGCGAGACGCGACTTGATGAAGAAGGCGGCGGCGATCGTCGCTCTTGGACGCTAGCGTGGTCGGGGGGCGATGCGGGCCCCCCGTGCACACAGGACCGCATTAGGTTTCGTCTTGCACTTCCTGGTATTACTCTGTGCCTGCAGCGTCTCCAGCCGCCGCTGCTCGAGATGATACCAGGCTGTGGAGCGTTGAGCTTCGTGTTAATTTTTCGCAGGGACACGCAGAAATCGTCGTGATGATCGGGGCCCCATCGTAGATCGGTTCCCGATCGCCTTTGCATGTCGTTTTCTTTGTCACCGTAGTTAATCCTCCTCCTGCTCCTGCTCCTGCTCCTTCTGCTCCTGCTCCTCCTCCTCCTCTTCCTCCTCCTCCTGTGATCCTGTGATCCTGTGGCGCAACTGTCCAGCTCCCTGAGGCTACACAGCACGCTGACGACGAGAACGACGACGAAAAGAGAAGGCGGCAACGTTAGCGCGCCTCCTTGAACAGCTCGGCGGGGATGGGCCAGCTCCTCCCGAAAGACCTCCCATCGGACGGGTCCTTACCCTTCCTGGGGTCCGAGAGGCTTTGCTGGGCCCCCTTGTTGCGCGGTGCTCCGTGGCACTGCGCCTGCAGGAGGCGGGACCTCTTGGTGCCAAAGGCAGCACACCTCGAGCACCAGACGATCCCCCCACCCCCCATCCACAGCTTATGGGTGCTGTGGGCACTACGAGCTAACCTGGGGAGACCACTACACGGGGTCATACAAAGCCCAGTCCTGGAGCGAGACCTGTCTCCGCATCTCGGGCAGAAAAACCTTTGGAGTTTCTGCCCCGACCTGCAAACCTCGTGCCCATTGGGGTCCGCCACCAACTCCAACCGTGTCGGTCTCCTACGGCCCCCAACTTTACACTTAGCAACATCGGGAAAACCCCCCTCCGAGAGAGCAAACAGGATCGCCCCTTGGAAAATCCCTATCTGCCTTACCTGCTCAGAGAGGCTCACATGCTCAGCTTTGGCCCTGGGATTTGACGGGTGAAGTTCGACCCCCTCCCCCGCAAGCCGATCGGCCTCATTGTTTCCCTTCCACGCCCAGATGGGCATGCCAGCTTCGAGAGCCTTCGCGAGGGACAAATGAGAACGGACCTTGCGGAGGGTAATATTTTCAATCCCGTAGTCCTGAGCAACCTGGAAGATCTGAACCCATAATTCAGAATACGCCAATCTTTCGAAGTCCTGATCGGGCCCCTTGGCCCAGACATCCACGACAAGCTGGCAGTCCGAGGCGATTTCCACGACACCGGCCTCGAGCGATCTCAAGGCCATGAGAAAAGCATACACCTCGCCGCATCCCGCCTCCTTCACAGGGTGGGGGAGCGGGCCATACTTGGACGACGCGACCACCGCGACCTGGGGGGCCATGCACACGACCGCCCACCCCGCCCTGCTGAAGGGGAGGTCGGGATCCAGCGCTGACCCGTCCAGACAAATGCGGTGGCTCATGAAGCCTGCGGTGGAAACCTTGTCCCACTTCACATACTCGTGCTGGACTGGCGGTGGCCACTTCGCCTCTGGAGACACCGCAAGTCCACGCGTGAGAAAAAAGTAGATCAGCGCCTGGCTCAGCAGCTCTCTCCTGAAGCTCCTGAAGATCGAGGTGCCGTCTGAGCCCACAATGAGCAGGGCATCTGAAAAGACGGTGCATATGTGTCCCAGGCTCGTCGAAGCAAACCTGACACCTGACATCAACAACCCTACGATCTTCATATAGCACTGCTTACGTAGGAAAGCCACCTGCAGCCAAGCCAGACAATAACCAAGCCTTCTTATTACTCTGCTTGCTAACCTCGTTGCGGCATTGCCTGCACAGCTTAGCTATGGGAGCCACTAGGGGGAGCCCAGGAGACCCAAACATCTTCAAACCCACGCGGCTCCGAAGAAGGTCATGGGCATCCTGGGTGATCAGCTCGTGTAAGGACCTCTTCCCGATAACGCCCACATCAATCGTAATGCCAGAACGGGCCTTCCAAAGCCTCCAGGAATCAGAGTACCACCCCAACCTCCTGAGCGTAAGTACAACTGCAGAGCCTGGGCCACGCACGTCCGACCAAGCCAGATTGGGGCAGCGCTCCGCCGCCTCGAAGCAACGGCGCAGCGTCGTCGCACCCACCCAGCCTTCTCTGGCGGCACGCGACCATGCAAGAAGAGGGAGACGACTAGCATCAAACTCGGGACCGGCCTCTGGCACAGAAGACATCATAAACTCCAGAGCACGGCTGCGACCTCGAGCAGCGCCGAAAGTTGCCGAGGCCAGGGAAGATCTCAGAGAACGAACACGCCTATCATCCAGACCTTTGACAGTGGCCCCATACATGCCCTGCGGGAGCGCCCCTCCTCTGATGACCTTCATGAGCCCCTGGAACGAGCTGCGGAGGCTGCGAAACTTGGAGAGACGGCCCTTGATCTTGCGAAAACGGGACCCCACGACGGCCCTGGACCTGCGACCCTTGAGCCCCATCCCAAAGTCGCATCCCAGATTCCTGGCAGCAGCAGGGGCGGTAAACTTCCATTTGCCCAGACGCTTGGCCAATCCACGGGCCACCGATGAACACGAGGATAAAACCTTGCCTTTCGACTCCGAGACAACCAGCAGTTGGCCCTCCAACAGCCCACATAGGTAGGCCGTAGCATTCCCAAGACGCGTTTGGACCACCTTAGCAGCCCCCCCCATGAACAGCGTAATGTCGTCGACCACATTGAAGGGGACGGCGGACGGGAAGTGCTCGCACACTTTATCCAAGGGAGACAGCAAAAACAGCCTAGGCAACGTCGTCGCGAAGGGGCACCCTGCCAGGATGGTCTCCGCCACCTGCACCACATCCGAGCAGATGCCAGAGCTGAGGACCCGAGGCCCTCTGTACTTCACGATAAGAAGCCTGAGCCTGAAAATCGGAAAATGCCAAGCGACCGCGGCTTGCACAAGAAGGAAATGAGCCACTTGTTCATACGCCTTGGCGAGGTCTAGCAGGGTGAGCCCCGTGGTGAACCCCATGAGGCTGTGGTTCTCAACAGCGAGGCTCTGCGCCCAGACAGCCCTCTCACAAGACTCCCCTTTCACTCCGTAATGGTATGACCTAGGATGACGACCCTCCCACTCAACAGCCTCATGCCTAGCAAGCTTGTGGAAAACCCTGTTGACCCCACTCTCGATGCTGATGGGTCGGTAACCTCCTTCAGGCTTAGGAAGCTGCGCCAACAGGATGAGAGCGATGGCAGAGCTGAAGATGCCCGAGCACTCCTGCCAGTGCCAGAGCAAAGCGAGGCACTTGAGGGCCCCGTCCGAGAGATTGGCCAGCTCCCTGGGGCGCAGCGCGTCACTTCCAAGGGCCGTGAACCTCTTGAACTTAGAAGCCACTCTCCTGATGGCTTCAGGGTCGCGAACAGGAGGGCACAGATCCCCAATGGAAACCCCACTCTCGCTGGCTTGCTGCTGCAGGAGGGTGGTGCAGTAGGCCACGGGGTCTCGCATGGCCTCCGACTTGGGTGGCGGCTTCCAGACTCCCTTTCCAAGCCTCCAAGAGCTCATCCACTTGCTGCTGAGGCCCAGGGGGTGGGGCTCCCTGGAGGCTTGTGGAGGGGATCCAACCAATGGAGGGCTTTGAGTACTTGTGGGCCTTACCAGCCCCATCCGAGACAGCTTCGGCGACCCGGGTCCTCCATTTTGTCCCTCGGTCCGACTTGGCGGCGAGCTCGTGCTTGGTCGCGAGCTTGGTCGCCGCGCAGAACAGGCCATGTCACTGCTTGGTGCTGAAGAAAAATAGTACTTCCAAGGGGGGGAGCCAGCCTTGCCAGGCCGTGCTACTCGCCAAGCAGGCAGGCCCCTTACAGAGCCGATCAAGAATGGCAACCGATTCATCATCACCCCAAGCTTCCCCTTTATTGGATATGTGGTAGAGTTCGTCAGCAAAATTAGCAACCTTCCTCCAGCCCCTGGATTCAGCCGAGCCCACAGGATAGGCCCCTCCTGACTTGCGCAGAGCAGGAACCCAAGCAAACTTCGGCAGACGTCCACGGCCTCGAAATTTAGGGGCCTCCAGAGGGTCGATGGCGTGCGCCGAGATGAGTTCGTCCTCAGCTCGTTGAAAGAAGGCACTAAAAACCTGGTACAGCTCGCTTTGCCCGCCACGCCGCTCCGCAGCTATAATCAGATCAGACCAGTCTGGCGGCTCAGGGCGCGGACCAACAGGTAGCACTACAGGAAAAAACACGAGGACGCTTAAGCATACGTACCTTCTCCTTCAAGGGGTCTCCTGACAATGTGAGCAGCACTGGCCAATGTGTCTTGATGCATGTGTCTTCGTGCCCGGCAATCTTGTGGCAGACCCCGAGGAGAGCACGGCTAACCACAAAGAAATCGATGGTCCCCCACTTGCGGCTGGTAGACCTGCACGTGGGCTCGGCCGTTCTCACCAGAGCACCTCCTAGCCTATCAGGCCAGTTGGAAGCTTCAAGATCCTCTGGAGTGCAGTTCCAATCAGCCCCGATGATAAAGGGAATGCCCAAGCCAAAGAGATACTCCCCAAGACGCGCAAGCAAGTGGCTGCCCTCTTGCCCCAGCGGGTCCTGATCCCACAGGTACAAACTGACAGCAATAAAGCCTCCAGGAACAAAACTGTTGATATGCGTCGCCAGGACCTTGTGAGGACTGGGGAGCGCCTTAACCAAGTTGGGGGCCTTACCCATGCCGATGTGCTTCCTGACCGCGATGCCGGCCCCAGAAGATAATCCCCCTTGTTCAGTGACGACCGACGGGCTAAGAGCCAACTGCCAACCGTGAGCCTTCATGGTGTCCTCTCGAGCCTTCTGGGTATCCGCGTCCGTGGCCACCTCCTGCAGGAAGACCACAGACGACTCGGCCTCATACACGAGAAACTCCTGAAGGGAAGACCATGACGTGGCATTGCACGTCCCCAACACGAACTCCCGAGTCCTGCGAGATTTCCTCTTGGAAAACTTCTGAAGGGAGTCCGAAACTGCACAACTGGGGCTGGGGTCTCTCGGAGGGGGCAGGCCAAAAACTTGTGGCGACTCGCAGGCACCCGTGAGACCTGCAGCACAGTCGGGGCCCCCCTCTCCATTACCACTCGCCGAAGGGGGGCCACACGTCTGAACACTAGCCTGGTCGGGGACCTCAGTCAGGAGCTCTACCGCTGGCCTTGAGGACCCCACCAGACACTGGCAACTCGAGCACGCGAGCCAGGCCCCAAGCTCCAGCCTGAGGGCCCTCAGATGACAACATGGAAGGACCCGATGATGGAGAGGCCGACGAGCAGCGCCAGCGAGAAGCCGACGGAAACGAGTGCGGGGCCGTTCCAAGATCTGTTTCGTCCCCAGCGAGATGGAGACCACCAGGAAATTGGACCCACTGCATGGCGAATGAATCGAAACGCACCACTCCCGCCTGTGGCGACTGAGAAACGTGACGGGACCCCGCTGACGGGGGCAGTGAACCTGACCAACTGTCCATCGAGTCCGCGCGCAGCAAGTAGTGGGGGCGAGAGATGGAGGCCGTAGCGGAACTGCTTGGCCCCCATCGCGAGCATGTCCAGGACCAGCTCGCAGAAGAACATTCGGGAGGCAAGCCGTGCCCCGAACATGTGGCGCTCTCTGCCCACCACACTCGCACCGATTCAAACCCTGGGGGTCCCTCTGGGCGGTCCCAGCCCCCAAAGGACACTGGCCTACCCAGGGTTTCGTCCGAGGGGTGTCTCGGTGGTCTCATGGTGGGTGAGTATAGCGACCTAGACGACGTAGCCCAAGCCGCTGCACCTGGACCTGTCGAAGTACCCGACCATGCCATGCTAAAGCCCCGACACTCCAGCGTGCACCAAGCGTGTCGCGGCAGCGTAGTCCTTGGCCAAGTCTTCCACACCGCCGTCGACTGGAGAGCGCAGACCTCCCCGGCCTGCCAGAGCCACGGCCGCGGCGACCGACTCCTGAGACGGTGCCTGGGGCGGAGGTGGCGCGGCCCTTGCAGCAGCTGCCCCCCCCACGCACTTCATCATCAGCGTCGCCTTCAGCAATCGGAACATCGGCCCCCGAGGGGGCAGCACTTGACACTTCATCCACACGCCGTCTCTTGGACAACACGCGCTGCTTGAAGGCCTTCTGCTCCGCCACCAGCTCCTGCGCGCGCACACGTACCGCCCCGAATGCTTCGGTGACCGCACGCCTGATGGTCTGCTCCACCTCCTGCTTCCGATTGGCCACCTCCTCCTTCTCGGGGTCGGTGACCTCGACGCCTTCAGCGTCCAAGCCGAAGAGCCCTCGTCCTCGAAGATCTCGAAGGATTCTCCGTCCAGCAGCTTCTCCAGGCTGAGGCCGCGGCGCGGCGCCTCCGCCTGAGTTGCTGGAGGCGCCGCCTGGGGTACCTCCGAAGCGAGGAGCTTGACCGCCTGGTGGTACTTGTCCTGGCAGGCCTCGAACTCCCGCATGGCTTGCACCGCAGCCTTTTGAGCTTCGACCAGCTGGCATTGGAGGTTCTCGGCGACACGCACACGCTTCTCCAAGTGCTGCTTGGCCTCACGCATGGCATGCTGGCACACCCGCGGGCCCGCTTTCTGCAGCCTGTCGATGTAGGACGCATACACCGCCGCCTGAGCCGAATCTCCCAAGCTCTGGAAATTCTCCTGGATGAGGCGCAGCTTGGGGATGTCCTCCTTCGAGTACTTCGTCCAAGCATCAGCATGTTGGCCACCGCCTTGGGCAACCCACCCCGAGGCCTGCAGCTGCAACCCCGACGGGAGGGTCGGCTGCAGGGTGGGGGCCGCAGCCTCTTGCCCTTGGAGGCCAGCAGGCTTGGGCCAGGCTGCGGGATCCACTCCTTTGCCCTTGCCTGCCTTGCCTCCCTTGCGCCCCGCAGCCGCCGCCCCCCCTTTCCCCGTGAAGCTGATCTCCATGAGACGGGAGCGACCCGAGCGGAGGCAAGGCCCAGACGCCACCTGCAGGTCGATGGGCTGTCGGCTGGACGTATGCGAGCGGCTCGAGGCAGCGCTTGCAGAACCAGTAGTGCGACATATTCTTCTTGCATCCACAATGGGGGCACGGAGCCTTGGACAACTCCGCACCTCCACTCTTAGGCTGGTGCCCCACCCACGTCCACTGGCGAGGGTCTCCTTTCGCGTCACGCATACCAGGCTGGCCGCGACGAGAAGAGCCCATCGCAAGGACACAGGGAGGTACCGTACGAGGGAAATGTTGTAAGAGTATGTATGATCCAGCACGAGTTTACAAAGGGTGTTGAGGCCAGAAACTGGCCGCCGGATCACAGGCGGGGGCGCGCCTTCCCCACGCCAAATGCTCCAGTCCTGAGCGAAACACTACAGACTTGAGCCAAAATGGCTACGGACTCCTCTTCCTCCTCCTCCTCCTCCTATGCCTCCTCCTCCTCCTTCTCATCGTCCTCCTCCTCCTCCTCCTCCTCCTCCTCCTACTACTACTACGACTACTACTACTACTACTACTACTATAAACTACTACTACCCTACTACTACTACTACTACTACTACTACTACTACTACTACTACTACTACTACTACTACTACTACTACTACTGCTAATAGTACTACGACCACTCCTACTACTACTACTACTACTACTACTACTACTACTACTACTACTACTACTACTACTACTACTACTACTACTACTACTTCTACAACTACTACTACTACTACTACTACGACCACTACTACGATCACTA